CCGAGTTCGGAACTGTGATCACCATGTTTAGGCTGTCCCGATATGGGCGGAATACCGATGACACCCAGGTCTGGAGTGGGCGAAGCCGAAGTCTGGCATGCCTGGTTACGTACGTGCAAGAGGACATGTGACCCAACAGGGTGAGGCACGACCTCACTGTGGTAATTGGGAAGGCCCTGAGACCTCGAATGAGGCTTGTGATGGTATGAAAACGTGATAAGCTAGGGAGAGTGGAGAACAGCTATGCCGCGCTCCACAGTTCCAACGACCGTCTGGGGCGGTAAGAAGGAACTGAGGGGGCGCCGGGTCGGCCGGGGTATATATCCAGCGCCATGAAGGCGCCACTCTAGGGGGCTCCACAGCCGACCCGCCGGGTGTTGCTAGGGTAGAAAATTCTCCGACGATCGTGCACGCAGCGCGCGCACACCTGATTGGAATCGATATGAGCAAGCACTCGAAGAAGGAGGCGGTACCGCAACCGAATCGCCCTGCACCGAAGGGGTGGGCGGCGCGGCGACTTCAGCGGCTAACGGCACCGTGGGCTCCCCATACGGGTTCGGTGCCGGAGTCGGTGCCGGAGGTTCGGCACCCACGAGTTGATCTCGGTGCCGTGAAGGTGATTCGGGTCGGCACTGAGAAGCTCCAGCCACAGAGTGAGGGCCTGGCTGCGCAGGTGCCTGAGGCCACGGTGCCCACTGGCACCACTGTCCCTGCCAGGGCACGGCCTGGAGCAGAGGCGCATCAGGCGCCGGCAGGACAGGCTGGTCCTGCGGTGCCGTGCGGCCCTGGGAGAGACGGCTGTGCGCCGACGCCGAGGTGCGGGAGGAGCGCACGGTGCCGTAAGAGCGGCTGGAGCGGTCCCGATCGTGACGACTCCTTCCCCGAGACTTCGACCTAGAGGAGGTCGAAACATATATGTCTGAGGAGCTGTCCCTGGATTCATTGCAGCGCCTGTGGCCACGGTGCCTCGGTGCCAGGGACTCTCGGGACGCACCACAAGCATGGCGTCTGTGACGGCGGGTGCCCGAGTAGGAGCATCGGTGCCGACGGCGTCGCGACTTGTCCCTCTCGGACTTGCTGGAAGAGGAACAGCGCTGTCTCTTGCCTCCTCCTCGACGGCGCTCAAGGCCGGGAGTTGGATCTGCTCTTGGAAGAGTCCAGACGCGGAGTCGACGCGGGGCTCTAATAGGCACCTTGACCAGGGAAGGTGCGTCGCCTCCGACACCTCCGGAGAGTGCTGATGGGCGCCCAAAGGCGGCTTTCCACGGGACCGGGGGCCCGACTGCAGTGGCGCTCCCGGCACTCGAAGTGTCAGTATATCGCGTGCAGCCTGAGCTGCCTCCAGTGTCGAAGGCAGGTGTACCTCCAGTGAGGCTCGCACAGACAGGACTGGACTACTCTGCTCAGCGTGAGTCGGAGGTCTCTGTCCCGGTGGGGATCGTGGGCTGCCCAACTTGGGTCTGGCCTCACCCTTGTTCTTCTCGCGGTGCCACTGAGACTTCCCTGGCTTCTTAGCTGGGGAGCGGTGCCGTGACGTCGACGGTGCTTTGCTGTGCACCGGGGAGGCGGTGCCTGGTGCCAATTCAGAACGACACACTGGAGGCGCCTCACCACGTGCCAATGACGCGGAGCCCGGCGCGGTGTCAGGTTGACGCACTGGTGCCAGGGCCAATGCCGACTCCATTAAAAGAGCCCGGAGTCGGATCTCACGCTCATTCTTCGTCCGTGGCTTGAAGGAGCGGCAGATCTTGCACTTCTCACTACCGTGAGACTCGCCCAGACAGTGAAGACACTGATTGTGGGGATCGCTTCTGGGCATAGAATTGCGACAGGAGTCGCACGACGTGAAGCCTGCGCCACGGGGCATGCCCTGAGCCAAGCACTCACGAAAGAAAGTTCAATAAGGGAGAGAGATCAGTGAACCGGATACCACTAAGCTACATACGCTGCAGGTACACTAAACTGGAGCAAGTTCTGACTACCTTCACTGGCGGCAAGAAGGAACTGAGGGTGGGGGGAGCCCCCTTTATGGCCCGATATACCGGCGCCACTCCAGAGGTCGCAGCGACGCTCCCCCACTACGGATACTGCTAAGGGAAAAACTTCCGGCACCGGTGCACGTGGCGAGCACGCACACCTATAGTGGAATACACATGAGCAATCACTCGAAGAAGAACAATCAGTTAGACACATACACAATGGGAAATGACTGCCTAGGAAGGAGTCCTGCAGAAAGGGAGCTGGGGGTCTGGTGGACCACAAGCTAAATATGAGTCAACAGCGTAACACTGTTGCAAAAAGAAGGAACATAATTCTTGGCTGTATTAGCAGGAGCATCGTAAGCAAGACACGGGAAGAAATTCTTCTGCTCTACTCCGCACTGATTAGGCCTCAACAGTTCGGGGCGCCACATTTCAGGAAAGATGTGGACAAATTGGAGAGAGTCCAGAGAAAAGCAACAAAAATAATGAGGGGTCTAGAAAACATGAGCAATGAGGGAAGATTGAAAAACTCAGGTTTCTTTAGTATGGAGAAGACTGAGAAGGGACATGATAGCAGTTTTCGAGTACATAAAAGGTTGTTACAAGGAGGAGGGAGAAAAATTGTTCTTCTTAACCTCTGAGGATAGGACAAGAAGCAATGGGCTTAAACTGCAGCAAGGGCAGTTCAGGTTGGACATTGGGAAAAATGTCCTGTCAGGGTGGTTAAGCACTGGAATAAATTGCCCAGGGAGGTTGTGGGATCTCCATCTGTGACGTTATTGACATAAACTGGGACCATATAGATCATTGTTGCAACCAAAGTCCTGCAGTGGCATCAAATCTTGTATAAAGGGGGTCAAATGGGGTGTCTAAGACAAGGTTATGGTTGGCTGGTTATGATTATGCTGTCTATATGTGTGTATCAGTTTTGTAGTTGAAGTTATGAATATTGGCTCTGTACTGTCTGTATGGCAAACTTATGCTATGCTTCTGGGTGACATCCCAAACAAGCTGGTGTTAGCTCTGCCTAGCCTGCTTAATGGCCCATTAAGGACCATCAGCTATACAATGGACCCATTGAGAGAAGACAAATATGCCTTCCGACTCAGCAAAGTATGCAGGAACTGGCCCATGTGACTCCAGGCTCCATTTTGCTGTAATTTTCCACAGTAAGAACAAAGAGGTGTCCTTACACCTGGAAAAGACTATATAAGGCTGATGCCTCATCTCCATCTGGTCTTCAATCCTGCTTCTTATCTCTGGAGGGACTTTGCTACAAGCTGAAGCTTTGAACAAAGGACCAAGGACCCATCCCAGCGGGGGATGTATTCCAGAGACTTGATTTGAACCTGCAGTTTATTCTATCGCTGCTGCAAGCCTGAAAAGACGGTTACTCACCGTTGTAACTGTTGTTCTTCGAGATGTGTTG